GGCCAGCGCAGCACCCAGCCTGGCCGCTCGCTGCTCCAGGGAGGGAGCTTTGCGCGGGTGGAGGCCGGTCTGTCAGTTCAGTACTCGCTTCTCCACTTACAATCCTGAGAACGAAAATGTTAACTTTATTGTTTGGGATTTTAAAGTACAGGTGTTTGAAGTGTTTGCACCCGATTTCTTGTGTTTGCTACTTTTCTAAGAAGGTAGCGTTATCAGTACATTGTCTAAAAGCCAAAAAACCCCAACCTGGGACTTTGTTATGTGGTGGGTTTGTTTTAATGCTCTGGCTTTTCCATTTCTCTGTTCTTTCCTTAGCCCATCAAGGCTCCTGAGTCTGTATCCACTATAATTACAGCAGAATCGATCTTTTATAAGGTATGGTTTATGCAAGTTTCTTTGACAAGAAGGTCTCGCTGTTTGTATTTCCAATCTCAGAAATGACTGCAGCCGGTGAAGGTACTAGGGGTGCATTCACAGAAACTGTTCCTCCTTGCTTAGCAGTGGTGTAGGGTTTTGCTCTGCCTCATGTCATTGCCGTTCAGTCTTGCAAGGTGCTTTACCACCGGAGTTTACGTAGTTGTCCCGTTTTTTTCTTCCAAGAAAAAGATGCATCTGGTTTCTGTAGTAATTATTGCAGTTGAGGTTTTTAAACTTTTAATTTTCACCGTGCAGAGATCAAGCGAAAGTGACTGTAGCTGGTTGTTCAGATTTGTGTGGTGTTTCCTACCTTGGGCGCAGGGAATATTGCCTGTAGAGGGGATGGGTTGCGCTGCCCTGGCATCTAACCTGGCTCCCGTTTCGAAGCTGGGCGCAAGCAGTCTCAGACACCCTGGGAACAAGATCTGTTGACCGCTGCAGTGCAAGCAGAAGCTTGCCTTCCCACGTTTGTGCTGGAGAGCATTTTTACCAGCATGCCAAGGTGTTCGTGCTTTGAAGTGCTGAAGTTTGCGTTTGTTTCCCGGCAGTACAAACAAACCATTTGAAATGTCTTTTCCCCCAAAGAAAAGATCAGGATAGGCACTGGGAGACTGCACAGCCAGAAGACTAGTGGTAGGCTGAGCTTCCCTATGCTCTCCAGAGACCTGACACTTTGTGTCTCGCATCCCAGGTGAAACGCCATTTGCTGTTGACTGGTTCAGAAGAGAATTGATGGCTTTTCTTGCGTGTTTTTGTTTGTTTCAGAAGTTCCTAAGAATTATGTCAGCAGTTGTGCTTAACCTGATATCTTTATGCAAAATATTTCTATTTTGATACTTTGCTGTGTTGCTGAGAAGGGGGTTGTTTGGTGTTTTTGAGGTCCTCAGAGTCTGTTTTAAAAACAAAGCCCCCCTGGATGGTGTTTGGCAAACTCTGATATGGGTGGTGCAGGCACAGCATCGTGCTGTGCGACGCTGTTGTAACGTGGAGTGAGTTGCCTTTGCTGCGCAGCCTCACGCATTGCAGAGCACCATGGAAGGCGGCAGGAGGTGGCTCTGTGTTTTGGAACTCCTTTGCATTCAAGTGAGTGAACTTCTTCATACGCAGAAAGCTGCTTTCCCTGCATACACAGGGAAATCGCTACAGTTACTTTTTCGAGAAGGTGGAGTCGCACTCCCCGGCTTCTGACAGAAGGAGACCATCACCGCTTTGCAGACCGGAGGCGTAGCAGTCCTGGGAGAGGGGGGTGTGGAGCAGCTGGGAGAGCTGTGTCTTTGACCACAAATGAGACCAGGTTGCTTCCGAGACATTTGGTGGACAGAGGCCGTGTGGAATTGCCTGCCTAGCCTCAAAAGCAGTTCTGGGACTGAACTCGGGCTCCTGGACGTTGGGTGGTGTGCGCAAGCAGTGCTGATGACTGCGTAGGTGAGACGGCGCTCCATCGTACGCCACCGTTCTTTTGCATGTGGCTGAATTAAGGCTGTCTTTCAAGATTAGGGTAATTTGGGATAATTTAAGATGCTGATACTTAAGATACTCATGAATCGGAATCACAGAGTGAAGCTTCTAAAATCAGATTGTTTGTTTGATTTTATTATCGTTTGTATGTCTTCTAGGGTGTGTACTATCAAATTGGAGATGTTGTTTCAGTGGTTGATGAGCAGGATGGAAAAACATACTACGCTCAGATCCGTGGGTTTATTCAGGACCAATACTGTGAAAAGAGTGCTGCGCTAACCTGGCTCATTCCTACGCAGGCCAGCCCCAAAGATTGTTTTGACCCAGCATCCTATATCATAGGTAATCTCTAAGCCTTCATTTTATACAACTATATGTGTGTGTGTATATATATATATATATGTGCTTAGAGTAATGCGGAGTTGTAATTTTTAAATCAATTTTTTCAGTTGGTCAGGATCTCATATGTAATTTCCACATTTTAGACCCTAATCCTGTAAGCATCTTGTTTACTTCAGTAACCTTTTTTATTTATTTTGTGTATGCAATATGAGTAGCACTGCTGCAGTGAGTGTGATTGTTTGAATATTTGCGCTCACGGGCACAATTATAGCCCTGCAACTCTGATGATGAAAATACTACTCCAGAGGTAGAATCAAATTTATTACAGAGTAAACCTGATGCACCAGTGTTTGTTTTAAAGTGACCTGAATTAGCTGATCTTCATCTTGGCTACTTAAAATACATAGCGTGCAAACAGTGACAGAGAGAGTGTTCTGCTGCTGATTACAAAATTATTAATAATTCAGAAAAGTCCTTTTTTGACAAGCAGGCCACAAATAGTATCTATTTAAAATATATTAACTAAAGTACTTCGCTCAAATAGCAATGTTTCAAATGCAAAAAGAAAAGATCAGCCCAGCAAAAATAAAGGTAGCGGTTTCCTGCCTAATATTTGACGCTACTTGGGCAGCAAAGTAATTGATTGAACAGGCACATTCTCTAAGGGATGTTGGCTGTTGTTGCATGTTTTAAAGTCCTGGATACTCAAATTTTATGCCTTTAAATTTTGTCTTTATGTATTTTTTTCTAGGACCAGAAGAAGATCTCCCAAGAAAAATGGAATATCTGGAATTTGTTTGTCATGCACCTTCAGAATATTTCAAATCTCGATCGTCTCCATTCCCTACTGTTCCCACAAGACCTGAGAAAGGCTATATATGGACTCACGTGGGACCTACTCCCGCTATCTCTATTAAAGAGACTGTTACCAATAATTTATGATCTTTTTAAAGGAATACTTTGGACAAGTTATTTTGGGTGTATTCTCAGGTCTGTGAACCCCATACAAGAAATTTAAAAAAAACTATAAAATGTTCATTTTACTATATGGATTATGGTATTTATTTATTTTGAATTATACCAGATCTTTAAAGTGGAAGTTTTCTTTACATTTGATGCATCATTTCCGTGCTCTGTTCTTCAGACAGTATTGCTCATTTTGGGACAAAACCACTAGTTTCATGACTTCGACTTTCATGAGCAAACTAACTGACTCCTGAAAGTTGCCTTTAGTGGTCTTATTTTCTGACTTTTCCAGAGGAGGAGTTAAAAGACGTACTCTTAAGCATTCAGCACTTTATATACTTGTTTAATTTAGTTAGCTGTGACTGCAATTTTTGTTTACGTCTTAAATAATTTAAGCCCAGCTTCATATAAATACTAAATTTGGTCAGTGATACAGTTAACAGTTTTCTGTTACACTAGAGAGGAGTGATCCACTTAGGTTTTAGTCTGAAGAAGAAAAATCAATCATCTACATGGCTGTATGCTGTTTAGCAGTCACCTTTTAAGGGAATTTTGTTCAGCTGGATCTAAAACATGGGCCTGTGTAGGTTCCTGCTAAACTTTGCTTATGTAAGGGGATACATTTCTTGGAAAGCTGGATGCAGACTTAAAAACTAATGTTATTTGGCTTTGCCATCCTGACATCTGCATGGCAGAAATGTATCTCTGTTTCCTGAGCAAGCCAACACTGACACAATGTTTTGAGTTTCACATTGTTAATATTTGTGTGCGTGTGTTAGGTTGGTCTCTTAAAATTGATTTTTGAATTGTTTTTTCAGCCTTTGCAATCGATGATGGTAAGAAAAAAAAAATCCTCCAACAATTCAAATGGAAAAAAAAAAAACATTTGCTAAGGGAAATAAAAACTAATTTTGTATATTGACAGTCTTGGTATGCCAGTGAAGATTTTTAAATAGCAGAACAGGAAAAATGCCACGTACTAAAGTGCCACTGTTAAAAGTTTTCTGCACTAAACTTTTTACAAACCTGTCAGCTCCGAACAGTATGAAATGTGCTTAGATGGCCTGAATTCCCTGGGGTTGGTGGTTACTGCTGCTTGTGAAGGGTAAGAACTGTAAGCGGCCCAAAATTTAGATTTACAGGTTTGTTTTGGCTTCTTTTTTGGACGTGTTATGTGACCATAGCACGAGAAGCCCCAACGCAGCTTTAGATTATTGTATGTAAGTCTATAAAAGTTGCACTAGACTTATGTTTTATCTTCGTGCTTAGATTTAAGTGCTTAGATTTAAGATGAAATACGTTTTGAAAGTCTCCAATAGTGACAATTTTTAAGACAGTGGGAGCCAAGACAGCAGGAACCAGATATATTTATTTCAGTCTGCAGCCTCAGTTCTGTCCTCTTCAAGTACAAGGAAAAATAGTCAACCTTAAGGGAGTAGGTGCGTAATTTAAGGGATACTGTCAGTAGCTCAAAATGTTTCAAAATTATCAGTACACTGCTAACAGAGAGTTAATTCTCAAATAACTTCAGTTGCTACACACATTTGAGATGCGTGTCCACATTCGGCAGGTTGCAGTAATTGGTCCCAAGGTGACCTCGTTCCTGACCTTCCTCCTCTCTCACTTCCTCTAGATTTCTGGTTTGCTGATTTGTCTTTATTAAATTAGCAAGCATCAGAAAGTAAAAATAATGACACTTAAAAGCTATTTACAGTAACCAGAGTGACTCCCTCCACTCAAAATTTTCCCTCCTCTCATTTCTCTACAGTCCACAAGGTTTTCACTTGGGGTCACTGATTGCTGTGATTCTGGCAATAATTGCAACATAACTGATTAATTAATGAGGCTGACTCTAAACCTTGTGGTGAGACCATCTCATGAATAAAGTAAAATGTCTTATAGATTAAGGTAGTATGTTATGCCACGTTTTGCTGCCCACTCCTTTTTTAATATGTATTTCTACAATTCTGTAAGATAATTTTTTACCTATATGAAGGCTATTACATGAAAATACATTTTGTAATCACCTTGCCAGAATACGTGACTGAGATGTAACTTGCCCGCCTTCAGGTAAAAGTGGAGTTTTGCTAAAACTTCATGCTTGGCTATGTGGTCACCCAAATAATAGGGAAGTAAAGAAGAGCATAGCAACAGATCTGTAAAGTCTCTGTGCTGCATCAGCATAATCCGTAGCGCTTTACTCTTCCTGTGGGTTGACGTCCAAGCTCAGCGACCTTCCTTGTCAAATCTGCATAGGCAGAGGGAAAAAAATGCTTACATCCAGTTCTGCTTTTTTGAGTTTCTACAGTTTACACCAAATGAAAAGGACTTGCTTGTCATTTGCCTTATTTGTCAATAAATTGTGATAGGAAAGGGACAATTTAGAGAAATGCCAGTGTATGGTTCATGATTTGAAGTTTGTTTTGCAGAATGACCTGCTGATGCACAGGTCTCGGCACCCTCCTGTGTCAAACAGCCAGTGATACTGAGACAGGGGAGCGACTGCAGCCTTCCATTAAGCACAGTTTGAAAACGTAGGCAAAAGAGTTTGAAGCAAGATAATGTCTTACTGTTACGAAAAAAGGTATGCCGTATAAATGTTCTGCTTACAGTGGCAAACAGTAGAGATTCAGGTAGAGGATCTGAAACCTGGAACTTCTGTAAGAAAAAGCAAAGAAAGAACTGTGAGCTTTGCCACCATGAAATGAAAGCCAGGATCAAATAAAAATGTCATGCCTCACTGCATTTGCATCACCAGCAGCACTAAATTTAAGAAACCTGTGTTCTGATTACGTTAAAAAAACAAATGCAAAAAACAACTGCACAATAAACCCAGGCTATTAAATGATGTAGCAGGTAATCTAAAACAAATGTGAATCCGCCTCAGTTCTGTTACTTTCCTAACTGTGACAGAGAATTGTTTGGTTTGGAAGATGCAAGACTCATCAGCTTTTCTTATGAGACAACCCACAGGAACATTAAATACCTTTTTAGCTGTCTGGTCTTCCCGTTCATTAAGGAATGAAACAGGCAAAAAATCACACAGAAAAAAAAATTGCTAATCAGCTGATTGAACACAAAACTTGGCTTCTAAAAATTTCTGCCGGACTCCCTAACACAGGAAAGGAGCTCTGCATTTAAACATTTTTGTTTTGTTTGCTGCAGTGTGGTTGAAGCTACCGGTAGTACCCCTGACAGATGGGGTGCTGACAGGTACTGCACCGTGTGGGCTCACTCATGTCAGTGTATCTAGTAAGTGCATGTCAACTAAACCACTTACGTGTGAATTTGTAAGGATACAGACAGTTGCCTCGATAATCAGCAGAATACTTGGGGTGGTTGATAACGGTTGTGCTTGTCAGGCTTTCCTGAGGACACCAAGCACAGTGAGACTGTCTTTAGCTGCAGCTGGCCAACACGTTTTGAACCCCGCAAAATTACATGTTATTAGGGATGGTGGTTAATAAACTAACATCAGTGACATGCATAAAGATAAATCCTGAAATTACTGCAGCTGCCTTAAGCTTTTACTCCTTTTCCTGGTCTGTTAATAAGTGGAATAATTCCATAAAACACATTGGTTTCTAATTCTGTTTTTATTAACTTCTTAAACTGACTTCCAGCTGCTGCTGCGTTTCTGTTGATACTCATCAACATTTCCAAGAAAGGCTCTAAGAATGGAACAGATAAATGATAATAGTTCATGAGAAAAACCCATTTTGAAATACAACACATTCTCCTTGCATGTTTTGACTTCTCTCACCCTTAGGATAGCAAACCTGTGGACCGAAGAATGAAGCTGGGACAGAGATTTGTGGGAGAGCAGGATCAGCCCTGGTAGGTTTAGCAGTTTCCAGCACAGACTACTTAATTTTATTTTATTTTTTTCCTGTGAGCATTGCTAGTTTTGGAGATGCAAACGGAAGTACTAGAAATTGAGTGACTCGATAAAACAGTTATAAAACTGTCATTAAAATCATGACAGCTTGGATTATTTGTTGCTACATAATCCGTTAATAGTATTCACTTTTGCCTTCAGAGCAAATAAAAACAGTAACAGAGTTGCAAACACAGTTATTTCTCGAAGTTGCATTATCATCATTGTATCAGGGGAACTAAGACATAAGAAGCAACCTGTTAGTTCGAAGTGCTGAAGCAGAAAGCAAGCCAGTGGCAGAAAAATGCCTGAAATATTTACTCTAAAATATTTCCAAGTATTATACTTCTAACTACTGTCTAAAAAGAGAAAAAAAAGAGACTTTTTATTTTATTAGAGAGATATAGAGCAACCTCTCTTAGTAAACATGAAGTGTTTTTTTTTTTAGTTTTTGATTATACTGGAGAGTGCCAAACAATAACCCAAATGGGTGAGGATTCTGATGATAAGGTCCCTAAAGAGATTGGATCCTCAGGCAATGTTTGTGTTTAAAGCATTATAACTTTATAGGAATTTGAAAAGTGCACTGTCCTCGTTTTTCATGGTCAGAACATCAGCCAGTAACGTGGGAAGAATGACTGACTCTCCGGACAGCTTCTTATGGACAGAGCTGAAAGAATGGGACCTCCAAGAGCAACGTGTCTCTCCCAGAATTTCTCATATTGGGAAAACAAAGGGCGAAAGGAAGGCCTGCGAAATGAACTCAACAGCAGAAGGGGAGTCGCGGGGTCCCACAAGGACCGGCTTTGGTGGCGTGCGACTGAAGGAGCTGAGCTCACCCACCCTGCTTGCTTTTCTTCTTTGGTACCCCCCCCGCGAAAAGTTTAGGTAGGTTTCATTCGTGCATCATTGGACTGTGAGTGGATACCCTACTACTGAATTTATGGCCTTGCACTAAGGTTCAGGGCTTTGTGACCAGTCCAAAGGTGTTTTCATTAAGCAGTTTTAGTTCTAAAGATGGAACATGTAGCTAGGAACTAAAATACAGAGTATGTATAATATGCTATATACTGAGTAATGCATAGAACATGCAGTGTGCTCTGAAGCATACCTTAGTTCTGTCTGCCTGCAGGAAGAGAACACCATTTTTATAGTTGTAGGAAATCAATAATATTCACAGCATTTGCCTTGCAGAACAGGAAAAAAATTCTCTTGCAGAAACAATGCAGACATTGTTTTTTAAAACTACTTTTTGAGGAGAATTTTCACTTCTGTATTTATTTAGGAGAAATAAAAGAGCTGGCAGAGAAAAAATCATGGACTTCAGCAATATAGTTACCTCTATT